CAGCCGCGGGTGGCCGGCTCGTGGAAGGGGTGACGCGGCGAATGGCAGCGCCGCTGCCCGTGCAGACGGCAGGGCTGTCGGAGGGATGCCACACTTGGCCAGGTGCCTTGTGGGGCTGGGAGGCCCTGTCTGCAGCACCAGTCGCTGGCTGCTGCTGCGGGCAGAGCCTGTCTCCAAGGCCTGGGCTCCTGGCAGGAGGCTGCTGGCTTTGGGATTTGTGCCTTCATCAGGGGTCACCGAAGAGCCATAACACGCCCCACCCCCCAGCCCACGTTCGAATGGCAGCCACCTAGAGCAGGGGCCTCCCTCCTAGCCGGGCCAGCGTCTCCGCCCGCCCACCCCCGGCCCTGCCCCGATCTCAGCGTCGTTCCTGATTCACACCCGTCTCCACGGCCCCTCCAGCCCCCAACGGGCGCCTTTGCCGTTTCGGTGCATGGGCAGAACTCGGCTGCTTTTCCTGGCCTTTAGGCTTCTCAACCTTCCCTCGGCTGGGAGGCCTCTGGCCAGGAGCTACCAGCCCTTCTCAGCCGGCGGTAGAGCAAGGGTGGGACCTCTGCTTGGTCAGAACCATGGTCTGGATCGTCTGGCAAAGCCTGCTGCCTCGGTTTCCCTTGCTTCAGCCACTCATCCATGTCATGGGCCTCACGCTGGGCCTGCTGCACCCATTCAGGGGTGCGCAATGGACAGAGCCTGGATCCACTGCATCCCACCCCTCCATTTCCATCCCAACCCCCTGCCTCCAAAGCCACTGGCTGTGCCTGCCCATTGTCTTGGCCTGTGGGACCCCTGAGCCTTGCAGGAGGTGTTCCCCTGGGTGCAGCACCCTAAGGATTCAGGGCTCACTGCATGCCAGGTTGGGTTCTCGCTGGCTTGTTCAGTTTCAGGAAGGGACTCTCCTTTGACAAGGTCTCGGTACGGCGAGGCCTTTCCCCAGAAGTGGGAGTGACATCTGTTGATTTCTTTTTGCCTTCTCCCCGCGGGCCAGCGTCTCCACGGGGCACCAGCATTCCAGACGTGTGCCGCGCCTCCCACGATTCCCCCGCCTGCGCCGCCGAGAATGGGTATGTCTACACTACCCTCCTAGTTCGAACTAGCGGGGGAATGTAGGCATACCGCACTTGCAAATGAAGCCCGGGATTTTAATTTCCCGGGCTTCATTTGCATAAGCGGGGAGCCGCCATTTTTAAAACCCCGCTGGTTCGAACCCCGTGCAGCGCGGCTACACGGGGCTCGAACTAGGTAGTTCGAACTAGGCTTCCTAATCCGAACTACCGGTACACCTCGTGGAATGACAGCACGTGTAGCCACGCTGCACGGGGTTCGAACCAGCGGGGTTTTAAAAATGGCGGCTCCCCGCTTATGCAAATGAAGCCCGGGAAATTAAAATCCCGGGCTTCATTTGCAAGTGCGGTATGCCTACATTACCCTCCTAGTTCGAACTAGCGGGGTAGTGTAGACGTACCCAACAATGGGGGTTCCCGCCCCACCGCGGGTGGGAGCTGCTGGGCACTGAGCAATTATCACACCTAGAGGCCCGGCCGAGATCATAGCCCCATTGTGCTTGGCGCTGTACGTTCCCCCAGCGAGAGCCAGGCCCAGCCCCAGAGTAGACATGGGTGACTGGGGCGGGGGGAAAGGAGAAGGGTTTCTAAGGCAGAGCAGAGACCAGAATCCATTTTCTCCTGACTCCCAGCCCGGTGCCTCATCCTCTGCCTCCCCAGCTGGTACGAAACTGCCCTGAGTTCACCTGAACCTCCAGCCTCTCGTGCCCAGGGGTTGATGCTGCAAGGTGCGGAGCGGCTCTGAGAAATCTCCCCGCCCTCTCCAGCGTGGGATGGAGGCAATGTTCCCATTGCCATGGCTGTAGGCTCCGTAGAAACACCGGAGCCCTCGGACTTTCAGTCCGGTGCCACTCAGCTGTGGGGCCCAAGGGAGGGCGACGGCCAGGCCGGCATTACTGTCCAGCTCCAGGGAGATGGGAACCTCCTTGCCATTATCTCTGGGAGCAGGCGTGTCCCCGTTTCTGAGCCAGCGGAGGGAGACTGCATTGAAGGGGAGACGGACCCTTGGGGGTGGGCAGAAGAGGCAGCCTGGAGGGAGGGGTTGGGCAGAGGATCTGGCCTGTGGGGAAGGGAGGGCTGGGGCTGTAAGACCAGCCAAGAGGGCTTGGCTTTGGTGAGGGAGCCAGGCCCTGATGGGCAGCGGTTGCTCAGGAGGGTCAATCTGGCGTCACGCTGCTGATTTCAGCGGCGACGCCCGGGGGGGGCAGCATGTGGCCCCTTTGGCCTGGCCTGGCCCGAGCAGCAGGGAACCTCGGCCAGACGGCCGCTGGAGTTTGGTGGGAGCGGCCGAAGCCCAGAACACGCCTCTCGGGGCCTGGCGGAGCCGCTGGGGAGCAGGCGAGGCCCTGAAGACTGGTGCTCATTGTATGCGATTTCCTTAGGACCCCTCCAGAGCAGCTCTGCTGTGGGTGACTTTAACAGCTGCCCGCGCTAAGCCAAGCCCAGCTCCCAGCTACCGTATCTATGACAACTGCTCTTGGCTCAGGCCTGAGCTCCCTGTGTTTTCCTGTCCTCGGTGGCCGAATGGGCTCCAGAGCTGACCCGAAGGGTTTCGCCTGCACCTTCCTCCATGCCCTGGATCTCTCTCCTGCCTTCCAGAGCTGGGCCATCCTGCTTTGCTTTGGCCAGCCAGCCCAGCATGGCTGTAAGGCGCACTGACGGCACAGGGCCAATCCGGTGAAGTCAGTGGAGTTACTCTGGATTTACACC